TTTTGAGACCAGATTCGGAAACAGCGTAAAAAACTACTTCTAGTGATTCTAGTCCCACTACGAATGGAGACCATTCCCCAATAAGAACGTGTGAGAGAAAAGATGGCCCAGAGAAGTCAGACTTTTCATTTCCAAGTCATGACAAATGGAATAAATCTTCCAGTTGCCACACTACCATCAAATCTCCGGCTAACCCCAGGAATAAGACTCGGAGAATACGTTTTGCACAATCAGAAGTCAGTTTTGGATTTTGAACGAGACTATTTTTCCGCGAATCTCTACCCAAAAATCGATTTTTCCTCCAGACGATACCTGTCCTTTGTCAACTCAACCTACTCTTTCGGAATCTCATTCGCGTCGCTTGTTCGCCAGGATTTCCTCGACATTGTGTGAGCTAACATGAGGAATTATCAGCGGGAATATTCACTACAGATACATCGAACCGGAACACTCGACGAAGCAGATCAACCACCTTGATTCGTTTTGTTTTAAGCCGCGCGATGCTTGTAACGTTCGGACCTTTGGTGCGGCTGTCCTCCAGACGGCCTATGTCCGTGATTTTGGGATTTTTTCGGTGTTCTTGTCATTTTCTTCTTCTTCTTCCTATGCCGTTGTACCGCTCGAGCGGCGTCGGCGCCCCAAGTCGATTAGCCGAGGTCCTGATACCAATAATAATCAGTAGACTGGCTTTCTTAAACCCCTTGGTTGAGTCGAGGCGGGCATCGAACTTGTGACCCTTTAGACCGTAGTCAGGAACACAACCTGTTGCGCTTCGGCGCGTCTCTTTTCTTGTCATTTTATGCTTTTATAGTTATATTTTCCGACTATTCTCTTTCCTCGATTCAATAGTATAGTCCGTTTTTCGTGACTTGAAAAGCCTGGACTTCTCTGCGCCCTCCTCGTCTCTTGGTTTCTCTGACCTCGCCGGTTAGGGAACTTAGAGACGCAGACACCTGAAAACTGTCAGCACAGACTATATTTCATCCGCAACGGCTTGAAACCGTCTAGCTCGTCTGCGCTCTCTTTTCCCTCGCCAAGAGGCTTAGAATCGTGAGAGAAAGAGGGCCCAGAGAAGAGCGATTTTCAAGCTGGCGGATGAAATGAAAAATGAAAAAATTTTTGAAGGAAGTGCAGGTTTATGAAAGAAACCCGGTCCAATTCTTTGATTTCACCGATTTGAAAAGTCGCGGTCGCATGTGGAATGGCTCAGTGCGTCGCGGTCGCCGTTTGCGTGCCGTTTTTCAATTTTTATGGAACCAAAGCGCAAGTCGTTTTTGGTCGGATGCACCTTGACAAAGTCTCTTCCGCAACTTTGAGCCATTCTTCATGCGGCCAGCGACTTGTTTTTGATGATTTTTATGCTAGCCTCAAGTCTTGCAGAAGCAATCGATATTCAAACAGCCCGGCTATTTCCGGATCAGGGAGAACTTTTGGCACTCGGAAGCTTATAAAGTGTAAGTTTCGGATGATTTTCTCCAATTACGGGTTATTTTTTCATCTTAGAAACCACCGTCCTCTTATCGCGAGGTTCAGAGCAAAACCAGAGGATGACAGTATGATGGGAGTGGCGTATTACGTTGGTGAGTTTGGGATGTTGGATGGAAAATGCGCTCCAAGAAGAACTGATTTTTTTGAAAATGAAGAGATCTCGGAGCTTGGAAACGCAAGCCGGACGCATTCTAGGGATCACTTAAGAGCACTGATTCTACTAAAGTGATCGCTAGAAAGGCCTCGAAACGTCCGGCTGGCTCGCATTACCAAGATCCGAGACTTGAAAAAAAAAAGATTGACCTGATATCGAAATAATGCGTTGAATTTCTGCTGCCATTTTTTTTTTCTCATTTTTCTGGCCTCTCTAATGGTCGCATACTCTTTTTCGTCTAGGAGCTTTAAGAAAAGCGAGAGATCATAGCGTCCTGAAGAGGCGTCAGAGAAAGAGAGTTTACTAATTTAAAGTTCATCCGATTTAGTGGAGTTTTGATTGAGCCTTTCTCCAGTTCAACCTATAGAATGATATTTCATTTTTTGCCTAAAGGGGCGTGGCCTGTCTGGGCTCTCCACGAGCCAAGCTCTGTCTCGTGCATGATCGTATCAGGACCTTTTTTCCGATGGCTCAAGTCAGCCGTCAATCAGCTTTACCACAACACTTGAAAAATCAAAAAAACTATCTTGGATTGCTCAAAAAGTTGAATTTTGGTACCTCCTATGTATGGCTGGGTGGCCTGGCGCAAGTGGTTTTCAGTCGGGGGAGCTAGAAAATTAGGCGCTTTGCGACGGCGACGCTTTTAGCTATTCCGTTCGGTCTCAAGAAAACGAAAAATTGAGTGTATTTCATTCTGTTGAGGAGCCGTTCTGACAACGTTCGCGGCGTACTTCTTGCTTGAAGCCCTTGGCTACCAACTCTACAGAAGACGCGTCGTCGCCGCACAGCAACGTCGGATGACCTTCTCCCGGACTACCCGTACTCATACCAAACGAAATTAAAGCTTTTCCGAATGCTTTCCTACGTTTTTTCGTCTCTGACATGGTCCAAACTCTCAAAACAGCTCCGTTCAACTCTGCTTGGGTCTTTCACATCAGGTTGGTCTTTTTCGTCTTCAAAAATCAAAATTTAGCGAATTTCTTTAGTTTGTACCCAAAAAAAACGTTCGGTTTACGTTTTTTTTTTTCCGCAGACCCATTGTTTTCCGTAGAGCGCTCTTGATCACTTTTTCCATGACCAACTTCAAAATCCTGATGCTTGAAGCTTTATTCAATGTTGAAAGAACAATAGTCGTTTTTCATAATATATTACAAATTATATTACAAAGATCGGAGAATCATCTACTGATCTTGCGGTTGTTCGGTGGTTTGCCCTGGAACAGAGTCGTCGTTCGGAGCACAGTGTGGCGGGAATTGAGGACAGCCGGTCCGGAGACACATAATCGGGGATCGACGGCAAGACCAGCCTTCTGGGCACTGGCGGCCGTTGCAAAGTCCGCCAGAAGGCGTGCTGACGTCACGCGGGATTCTGATGACGCTCTCGTCGGGAGTGCAGCGTGGCGGGAACCGTGGGCAGTTGGGGAAGAGGCACAAGATTGGCGATGGGCGGCACGTAGAGCCGATTGGGCATCGTTGGCCGTTGCAGAGCCCGTCAGATGTGGCTGACGTCGAGGAAGAAGCTGAGGTGGAGCTTGAGATGGAAGCTGAGGATGAGGATGAGATCAAGGGCGTGCTTTGAGTAGAGGAGCCGGTTTGAGAAGATGGAGCTGAAATCGGATTTCGATTTTCCGAGATTTCTCAGTAGTTTCTTAGATACTATACTAGGTTTAGGGTTAGGTCCAACTTTTTTGCTATACACTGCCGACTTCTCTATTTTGGAGTTTCAGAATCAAACTTGAGGTATGAAGAATTTTTGGTGAAAAAACCCCTTACAAGTTTGGCTTTCCTCCGAACTTCTGTCAGTTGTACGACGCCAACGGCGGCTGGCTGGTAGTCCGAAAGGATGACGAGTTGTTGAACCTAAAATGTCCGTATTCCTAAAATAATAAGTTCAAGTTCTTACCATCGTGTTGTCCAGAACATTCCCGACGAGGAACACATTTACCTTGGGAATCTCTGGCGAACCCGTCGAGGCATTGGCAAGCGTTTGGAACGCAATAAAGTGCGCAAGCTCCCTGAAACTTTCCCTCTTTCTATTATATGCCACGAAGCGACAAACCGGTTCAGGTCGGTCGCAGCGAGGCTCACACGGGGTTCCACAACGCTTGCGAATTTCGTTGTCTCCACATTGACTCGATGGAGTCGAGAATTGGGCTGGAAAGGATAAAATGAGGATTTATAGTGATAAAAGTTTTACCTTGAGAAGCAGCTATGAAAAGCGAGAATATGGCTACGGCGCAAAGTTGGACCTTGAAAAGTTCATATTTAAAAAAAGTTTCGAAAAAAACATACCATTTTGAATGGAAAAGACAGTTGAAACCAAAAATTGGCTATACTTTCCCCAATTGATGTGCTGTCCTTTTATAGCGCATCTTTTCGTCGGTTTGTGCAAACAGACGACTTTTCAAAACATTTATTTTTGTGTTTTGAGTCGCTTATTATTGAACACTTTTTGATCATCGATGACTTGCAAATAAAGGAAGAATTTTGTTTGGGGATTCGAATTTCTATTGAGGAAAGAAAACGGCGTTAAAGTTCCCTATGTTGTCGTCGGTTTTGGCCGGGTGAGTCAGGAGGTTTTTGGAACGTCTCATTGGGAGAAAAGGTCGGAAAGAATTTCTTAAAATAGTTGGGTCTTCTAGGTGTCTTTTATATGAGAAATGAGACATCTGAAAAAATTCTTCCAAATAAATAGCTTCTTCTTTTTCATGCCTGTCTGAACTCAGTAGGATTGTGATTTCCCAAATTTCGAGTTTACCTAAAAAAAAATCGCTTTTCGTAATTATTCTCAGAAAACGATGAATTCAGTCAGACTTTTTGAAAAATCCAGGAGAATTTCGGAGAAATCTTGCAATTTCCAAACGAGGACACGATATCTGAAAGTCTAAATTTTGAATTTTGAGCACCAAATGAAGCCTAAAAACAGTTCTTATCAAACAAAAATTGGGTTCAGAAAGTTGAAAAATCTGAAAAACAACCAAAAAGCGCTTCAAAACTACCGGTTCAAACAAATCTTAACAAGGAAGGTCATTCTTATTTTTGGTTGGGAATTTCCTGAATTGGCCAGAACACTCCTAGATGTACCTACTGAGAGTCTCAACATGCACAAATTCCTAGTTTTTGAGAAATAAGGGCTCATAGCCTGATAATAGCATATTTTAACGGATTTTCAGGGATTTTTTAACTTCTCCTTCTCGAAAAATAGGAAGTTGTCGAAAAAAAATTGGCATTTCCAGGATCTATTTCTGGTACTTCTAGAATTGTTCTGGCCGATTTTCAGGGATATCCAATCACAAAGTGGAATGACCTTCCTTGTTAGGATTTGTTTGAACCGGTAGTTTTGAAGCGCTTTTTTGGCTTTTAACTTTCTGAAACCGATTTTTTTGATGAGTTTGGTTTTTAAGGTTCATTTAAAGCTCGAAGTTCAATTTTTTGACTTTCAGAGATCTTGTCCTCGTCTGTAAATTGCAAGATTTTCCCGAAATTCTCCTGGATTTTTCAGAAAGTGTATCTAAACTGACTGAATTCATCGTTTTCTGAGCGAACTTTTTTTTGGGTAAATTCGTAATTTGTGAAATCACAATCCTACTGAGTTTAGACAAGTATGAAAAAGAAGAAAATATTTATTTGGAGGGAAAATTTTTGAAGATTATTGAAAATTCAGACTTTAGCCTTTTTTAATCTTTTGATAGCTTTGTCCTTCTGATTTAAGCTCACCTCAGCTCGTTGAATTTAGCTTTCCTGAGTTGCAAATTTTATGAATCCCAACAATTACTGTACGAAGATGAATGAAAGATTTATTCAGGAGAAGTCTGTACAGCCAAATGGTTTTTTCGTTCACATAAGGTCATCAAAATATGGATCCGGTAATGGGTAGTCAGGAAGGGGGTATGGCGGCAAAGGGTAGTCTGGTAATGGGTAATCTGGAGGAATCACTTGGCGGACGGATCTTTTCCGAGCGACGTTTGGTCCGCACATTTGCGTCGTCGGATTGCAGACAAAGTGGTGAGGGCACGGCTTCGTCCTGCACTCAATGTCCGGGTATTCGGCTGTAAAAAAGAAGAATTTTATGGGTTTTAAAAGGTTTCTCTAGGGAACTATACTCATCTTTGAAGCTTCTGGGAAATTTTTGAGTGGCCACTCTAGAAGCTCTAGAGGACACTAAAGTGACCACTATAAAGGTTCTCTATTTAGTGACCACTTCAGGAGTTTTTCATCCGGTATTCCTTCCAGTAACTCTCATATAATTAAAACAAACAGATTGGACCAGTTATGTTGATCCATTGACCCCTAAAGTGACCACTAAAATTTTTAATGCTCTAGTAGTAGCACTTAGACCTCTATAAAGGCCGTCAATTTTAAACTCTTTAAGTGGCCACTAATTTGACTACTATAGGGGCCACTATAACGTCAAAGCTCTATAGTGGCCACTAATTTTTAACCCCTTAAGTGACCACTAATTTAACTATTATAGTGGCCGCTTAAACGCAAAAACCCTAGAGTGGCCACTGAAAATCTTCCCAGTTTGAAGCGAAATTTGTAGGCCCCTTTTTAAAACGCATTTTATTTTTGAATATGATTTTTGAGCTATAATTATGAATAGCACGGTAGAAAAGAGAAGAAACCCACCAAGACGGAATAATTTTTATTAATTCTTACAAAACGCACCTTGAACGGCAGCTAGGAGAGCGATGAGAATGATAATTCGATTCTAAAAACAAAAAAAAGTTCAAATCACGGTGTTTTCAAAAACTTACCATTTTTCGATGGGATCTCCTGCTTTTGGAACATATTCCGACCTTTAAATATCGAGTTTTTCCCATTATGTATGCAAATATTCAAATTCTGATTATTGATCATCGAAACAGGTCCAAAAATACATGTTTATCAAGATTGACAATGGATTTGGGACTTTGAATAGATGCAGGGGATGGGAAATAGGGAGAGCTTTCACGAAAAAAAAATTCACAAAAAAGGTGATTTGGAAAATTTTATATCATAGACGGAAAGAGTGGAAAAAGGCTCCATAGAAATGTTCCTTTTTTGCTACCTTTTTGCGCCTTTTCATCGGCCCTTATGCACCATTTTTGCTGCCTTTTTCCACCATTTCTTGAGCCTTTAAAACCCCAGAAAAATGGAAAGGTCGATAAAGAGACTCTCTATGTTGCCTTTTTTCTGCCTCTCTGCCGCCTTTCTGGAGCCTTTTTGCGACCTTTTTGCAGCTTTTTTGCAGTCTTTTTGCTGCCTTTTTTGAGCCTTCCCTTTTAGAAACCATCCTCCAATTTCGACTTTGCCAGAGTTGAAAGAACTAGTGAAATTTAGCTTTGTGATTCAAGGAAACGTTCAAGGTTTTTGCAGTTTTTTTTTGCAGTTTCTCTTGATATTTCGTATAAGTCTGAACTAGGTCCATACAGCACAGGGTTTATTCTCACCAAAAATTATACAAAATTTACAGAAATGTCCAAGTTTCCTCCTCAGTTTGTCTGTGGCGCTTCGCAGCGAGATCGGCTGCCGTTGTGACGACAGATCTGGCCATTCGGACAGCGTCGGCCGTTGCAGAGGCCTGCAGTGGCGCCTCTAGTGGTGTCGCACTCGGAACGACGGACGCAACGGCCTTCAGAAGACCTGGCGAATCCTCGACGACACTGGCAGACGTTTAGAATACACTGCTCCGTGCAGACTTCCTGAGTTTGAAAAGTCAAAATAATGACAAACTTGCGGAAAGCTTACAGGCTCCGGACGGCCGCATTTCGGCTCGCAGGCGGTTCCGCAAGCCCTGAACTCTTCGTTCTGGCCGCAAGTTCGGTTCTCAGCTCGTGTTGGTCGGCCTGGAATTTGGTAGGGTTGAAGGATTGAAAAAAAACGGGCTTTTTACTAGGGACACACTGAGCGACGCGATTTCTCACTTGACATTCAGTCCCCGAAGCGCATCGGACACTTCGGCACGATACCGGGGAAGCTGTCGTCAGTTGGGCCGTTCCTGGAATTTTTCGAAGTTTAGGTGGCTTAGGACCTTTTGAAGAGATTCTTTGAAGTTTATAAGCTTCCCTACACGTTTTTAGCCCCTTCAAAGCCTAAAAATTAACAAGATCTATAGGATACTTCTAGAGAAAAAAAATTTTGAAAGTATTAGCAAACTTTTTCTTGAAAAAGACACTGAGTTTCGCATCCAGCCTCACCAATTTTGTTACACTCTATCAATCGAACGCACGTCGAGTTGTCATAGCTTCTGAGAAGGCCGGGACGACATTGGCAGACGTTCGGAACGCACTCACGAGTACAAGGTCTCTGAAAATTTGGGCTTTTAATGAGTTCATTCTAGTCAAAAACTTCAATTTTGAACGCTCTATAGCTTTTATATTACTCTTCATTTTCTCACTTTCATTTAAAAGTAAGCCTATTTGCAGTTATAGCTGATTCACGGCTGGCTTGAGCCAAAAAAAAGGGTCCTGACACGATAATAAAAGAGATAGTGCCTGGCTGGTGGAGAGCGCAGACACGACCAAGTTAGCAGTGAATCGAAAATCGCGCTAGGGGACATCAAAAAAGTCAATTCTCTACGCTGTCATCCATTCCAAATGCGGACATGAGGCTTCTAGTCGACGTCGTAGAGAAGTTTACTGAACTCCTAGCTTTTTCTTAGGCTATCAGGTGTTCGAAAGTATGTTTTTCCTGGAGTACCTAGGACAAAGGCTCAACAATTTTTAAAAGATTTTTGGTACAAACGTTAAGAGGTTCGCCGCAACGCGGCTCGCACGCGGTCCCACACTCTTTGAATAGTTCGTTGCGGCCACAACGGCAGTTCCTTGGACGCTCTGAAGAAAATTCAACGTTTTTCAAAGATTTTTTTGAGCTTACGTGAGGTCAGATGCGGTGGCGGAAGCATCAAGGCTGAAAAAAAAATTTACGGATTTTTTTTTAATTTTTGGAGCGTCTTCTTAGTGAGCTCATCAAGTAACCCTATAGAATACCCTTCAAATCTCATTATCTTACCTTGAGTAGCGATGAAAATCGCTGACAAGCCGAAAAATTGCAGAAGAATCTGAAATGGAAAAATGAACGATTCAATTACGAAAGAAATCCTAGAGAACTTACAGTCGATGAAGTCATAGCGAATGAAGCCTTTCTCAAAGCTTTCTGATGAATCGACACGGAAGATTTCTTTAAATACCCGCGAAAAGTTGCAGGAAAACAAATAAACAAGCCTTTTTTGGGCTTCCAATAACACATTCAAGCGATCATGTCAATATTAGTCATGTTTTATTGCAGAACGGTTACTGAACGCCTCTCTTCTTCAAAATGTTCATTTTCTGTTCTCTTCAAATTTTCAAGCTAATTCATATAACGAATGGAAAATTTTTGTTTCGATGTATAGAAGCGTAGAAAACTTGCAAGACTTGAAAAATAGAAGCAAAGGCTCTTGATATGACTTACTGTATCGCTGATGACCGCAAACACCACCTCATTGCGGCCGATGCATTTCACACGACGAGCGCGCCCCGTTGATCATTTTTATTTTCCTTTTTCTTGTATTTTTCGCTTTGTTTTCTTTTTACTGCCGTGTTCCAAGTGATTCCGCAAAGTACGAACCAACTGTCAGAGAGTAAAAATTTAACTAAATTCCGGAGAGTCACGGTTAATTTTGTATTAAGCCGCAATTACTTTGAACACGGCATCATTGTTTTTTTGTGCTGTGGTTTTAAAACTCGTTTTTTTATTTTAAGATTGCATTTTTGAAACGATTTTTTTACTTAAAAAAAGCGTATATCCTTTTGAAAGTCCCTGCCAGAATTTATAGAAAAAAAGAAAGCCATGTAAGACTTGAAGACGCATAAAAAGGCTTCTCGTGCGAAGATATTTGTATATTTCTTTATTTCCTATCGATATATCTTGCAAAGATGTAGTTTGATCTTTTTTTTTCCTTTTTTTCGTTGTCAACTTTGAAGACAAAAATTTTCTGGTCGTGTGATTAAGCACGGCCTAAATCGTTACGGTTCAAATTATTTCTTTTATACTACATGCTTCAGTTGCATGCTAACCGCCTCGCGTTGAAAAATTCTTCATGGCACCAAGGCCCTGTATGAAAAAAGCCAGTCACTTTCGAAATGGATGTCACGGATAGCCAAAATTTCCTTTATTTTCACATTCAACCGGTTCTTGTTTCACAGTGGCCGATTTGAAACAGATTGTACATGCACCACTCGCCGGGAGGACAAGGAGTGTGGACGTCACACGATGCGCCGACTGAAATTCAGGGTAGTTCAGAGAAAAAGACGTGCTCACAGAGAAACGACTTGATGCGTTTTTATTAAAAACTCAATTAACCCCTCCGCGCCAGTTTTTCACTATTTTTCCGAGCTTCAGAACTCGCGCGGTCTTTCTCTGTGGATGCGCCCTTAATGTAATAAAAACTTTTCAGGTTAAATCAAAGGCGCATGCACAGTAGTATACCACTTTTTGACTGATCATTTTGTTCATTAAATATCATACCTTTCCGTTGCGGCGGAAAGAAACTGGGAGGTGACTCTTGAACTGCCGATGCCACGAAACAAGCCAGAAACAGAAGAATTACCTTCAAAACATCAGCTCATTTGTAAAACCAAAAAATAAGCGAAACAAGGACTCACTTTGAGAACCATTGCTGCGGAGCGTTTGGAATTTGGTAGATTTTTGTAGAAAAAATCTTTCAGGCTCTCAGAAATTCGTTATGGATTTATAATTGTCTTGAACATGCGAACGAGAAAATGTTTTCGGCCGTTTTTCAGCGTAGAATATGTTTCGTCTTCAAAATACGCGAAATTCAAAATAACCTTCAGAGAGTGAAGGAGGTAACTCAGTTTTGGAAAAGTCAGAAATAATTTTGGACGCAGAAGTACTCGAACCCGAAATCTCTTCAAAAAAAAAATTCTCTTGAAATCTAATTGATAAAGAAAATAAAATTATTTAAGGCGTACGGTATCGTTTCTAGACGCAAACACGACGTTATCACGGACAATGCATTTCATTTGACGAGATTGGCTCATCGATCAACTTCTGTCGTCTGCTTTTTTTTTCGTTCATTTTTTTTGCAATTCAAAAAAATGTTTAGTGTCGTGTTTAAAGCAATTCCGCGAAATCAACAGTAATCGTCAGAGATGGAAAAATATCACTAAGAGAGCGATAATTTTTTCTTTCATATAACTTTTCAGCGATAATTTTGCATTTCGCGGAAGTTACTTTGAACACGGCATAAGTAGGGGGTTACGGAAATAACCCGAATCAAAGAACGTTCCGGCATCATTTTTTGTTTCATAATAGTTTTTCGACATAACTTTCGAAAATTGAACCCTCGCTTGATTGCTTCAAGAGGCAGAAGCTTTGCAGGATTTTAAAAAAAAGGAAAAAGTCTTTTCGCTCGGAAAATTGCAAGACTTTGTCTATGCTACTTTGGACTTCAGCGGGGATTTTTGAATCAACACATTTGGAGTCTCCTGAAACGCGGTTTTTTTTTAATTTCAAATATAATTTATTTATTAACACTCGTATGATTTCAGTTATCAGTGTAGCTCGTCCTTTTTGATGGGCTCTGAATCATCGAATCAGCAGAGAAAGTTCACAAATCTACTCACTGACGCATCGATTTTGGAAAATTAGCCGATATTCGCACATGAAGCCTTTATCGCAAGGAGGATAGCCCTGACCACATGGACGGCCTTGTTCTGTATGAACTTTGAAAATTTGTATTTTTAGGAGAACGTTAAACTCACGAGCTTGGACTTCACTATATAGTAGAGTGAGTAGAAAAACGAACGGTAGGAAAAACTGGAAATTTCGATGGATCTTGATAAATTTTTGAAAAAAAGGAACTCACGTTGGCAAATATCATTGTGAAGAAATTTCTTGCGAGCCTGAAAAGAAATTGAACTTCTTTTTTTGTTTTCAACTCAAATAAAAGTATAGGAAACTAAAAAAAAAGGAAAAAATGACCATTCGGAAAAGCTTGCAGTTTCTCTGTTTACTGGAATCGGAAGTCTGGTCGTTTGTTTTTCTTTTTTTTTCTTCCGCTAAGAGATTACTCACGATTTTTTATCCGTCGTGTGACACGGCTAAACCACAAAATTCACAGGGGAATTTTTGGTTGAAATTCTCGGTTTTTTTGTCATTTTCGGTTTCATTTTGATGACGTGCTCAAAGTAGTTAGCGGGATGGAAGTTTAGAAGGAAGAGTTCTCTGAAATCATGAGTATAGCTGATTCACGGCTGGCTTGAGCCTTCGAGAAAGGTCCTGACACGATAATGAAAGAGATAGTGTCTGGCTGGTGGAGAGCGCAGACAGATCACGCCCCTTTAGATCCCCAAGCTGGCCGTAAATTTGCTATATACTATAATGATCGATTCAGCGGTTTCTTTTTTTCTAATGACGCTAAAATTTTTTTGACTCGCCAAGGAAGCACCAAACTTGCGCTCGCGGGTCAACATTGGCGTTTTTTTCGTGCATGAAATTTTTTTTTCTCCAACTTTTTCATTGAAACTTTTCATTAATTTATTAATAAAATGTATTGCATGACATTGATTACAGAATGTAGAACAAGATCAAAAAGGTCTTTTGCGACACAGCAGCCCGTAGCACTTCAAATCGGTCGGACAGCCTTCGGAGCAATAAATCGGCCGCGTTGAGGCTGAACACTTCAATTGTTTTCCAATTATGACAATTTTTGTAACCTTCAACAAGGCAGAGAATAGTTAGGATAAGGACAAGAAGGACGAATAACTGAAAATGTAAGGTCTTCATAAAAAGTTGCCAAAATGAACCCACCTTTCCAAGCATTTTGTTGTTATATTGTTGGAAACGCCGTTTTCACAGGCAATGTTCTTTTTATAGCGACCTTGGTCACATGATCGCCGTTTCCGTAAACATTTGCCAGACTTTGAAAAGGCAGAAAAAAAGGAAGTCAAATAAAACTTTTTTTTTGTGGGCTTCTTATGAAATATTTGACAGGTGTGTTTAGAAGAATCAATACATTCGAAAAGTTGGGATTTTGTAGTGGAAACTTTAATGTATCTTTGTGTGCGTGTCAGAAAGAAGAGTACTCGCCACTTATTTATTATCAGTGGTGAATAAAGATGGAGATGGGAGATTGGAGAGGTAGTTGTCGATTAGTCCGTGGCTGGAAGCGACGGAGGAGCTGGAGGCGAACGGTGGGCGGTACGAGCAATCATGATCTGAGTTCCCGACTTCTTTTATACTCTTAGTTGGGATATCTCTCACGTGATCTATTATTTGATCACTATCAATTCACATATTCAACACTCCTTTCCTTTTAGATATCTTTATCTTAGGAAATGACCGTACCTCCATTTGATCTTTCAAGCTGTTCAAACTTTGTTGGATTCGGTGGAGTCTTAAGTATGTAGGCACGAAAGGTAACTCTTCTTGGTGCTGTTCCGGCGGCGTTTGTTCGCGAGGTTTTTTCGCGGCCGGCGGCCGTCCTTCGTGGTGCTTGCTCTTCTTGCGAGATGGTTTGTCCGACATCTTCTTGTGTCTATCTGTTTCCATCATGTCTTTTATACCCTTTCTTATCCACCTCCCATCTTCACGCGGATTGACTACGACTTTTTACTCTCATTTCCACTTCGATGATTCCAGATCCCTTTTACGTGGTGGATCATCTCATTTTCAAAACGCACTCTTTTCACTTTGTCTTTCGCGCTTTGAGGTAACGTAGTCACATAATCTTTTAAATGGGCTGGTGGTTGTCTTTTCCTGATAGACGTTCTGACTGGTAATGTCGGTTTTATTACCGGCTCCTTCTGCTGTACTACTGTACGCTTTTCTATTACTATTTCGGTATTTCCGGAGTCTCCTTCCCTTTTAGACACAAACTTCTTCATTTGATTCAAGTGTCTCTTCCACCTGCCTAAACCCGGTACTGCAATTACGAACCATCGAGTTCCTTTCTTTTCTATAATAGCCCCTTTTACCCATTTCTCTCCTTCTCGGTAGTTTCGGGCAAAGACTATTTCTCCTATTTGGAACTCCTTTGATTTGGCCTTTCTGTCATGGTATTCGGTAGTTCTTCTACGGTAATTTTTCCATCACTTTCATATTTTTCCTGTGTATGGTTCAATTTTACCGAGCTACCTTTTGGCACTACTAAATCCAATCTGGATCGTAATTGTCGACCCATGAGCATCATGCATGGTGACTTCCCTGTGGCAGGGGTGTGGTGTTATCCGATATTTTTAATAGTATATCGGGTGCTGCTTCTAAGGCTTTTCGCCCTGATTTTATGCATTTTTCTAATCCTTTTTTAAAAGTTTGCACAAATCTTTCAGCTTCACCATTAGACTGAGGGTTATACGGCGGGGTTAATGTATGTTTTATACCCCTTATCTCACAAAACTTCTCAAATTCTTCTGAAGTAAATTGTGGTCCGTTATCTGAGACTATTTCTCCCGGATATCCGTGTACTGCGAACATTCTTCGTAAGCATTCCGTGGTGTTTTTCGTAGTGGTAGTTTTCATGGGCCATGCTTCGGGCCATTTTGTCTTTGCATCTACCGCTATTAACCACATATAGTGGCAGGGTGTGGTGTTATCCGATATTTTAATAGTATATCGGGTGCTGCTTCTAAGGCTTTTTCGCCCTGATTTTATGCATTTTTTTCTAATCCTTTTTTTAAAAAGTTTGCACAAATCTTTCAGCTTCACCATTAGACTGAGGGTTATACGGCGGGGTTAATGTATGTTTTATACCCCTTATCTCACAAAAACTTCTCAAATTCTTCTGAAGTAAATTGTGGTCCGTTATCTGAGACTATTTCTCCCGGATATCCGTGTACTGCGAACATTCTTCGTAAGCATTCCGTGGTGTTTTTTTCGTAGTGGTAGTTTTTCATGGGCCATGCTTCGGGCCATTTTGTCTTTGCATCTACCGCTATTAACCACATATAGTCAGCCGTTGGCCCACAAAAATCTATGTGAATTCGTTGCCACGGTGACTCTGGTACGCTCCACATCTTTAATGGTACCCGGGTTTCTTCTCTCCCGGTTTCAGCACATTGTGTACAAGTTTTAGCTTCCCGTTCTATTCTTTCATCAATTCCGGGAAACCACATGTACATCCTAGCAAGACCTTTCATTCTCACTATTCCTGCATGTGTACTGTGCAAATCCATTAATACCCTTTCTCTCAAGGTCTGTGGAATAATCACTCGCGTACCTTTTAACATACATCCTTCGTGCAAGGTTAACGAATCCTTTACTCTCCAGTAAGGTTTTAGCGCTTCGTCCGTGCACTTCTCTGGCCACGGTTTTCTACCTTGCACATAAGGAAAAATTTTCTGCAATGCAGAATCTTTAGCTATTTCTTTAGCTATTTCTTCAGCCGTTACAGGTAAACCTGCTATGGCTTCTTCGTGTAGAGCGAGTATTTCGCCTTCTACCTGCTGACTATCTTCAGACACTCTCTCGTCTGGGTTGGGCAACCTTGATAATCCGTCAGCGTTACCGAACTTCTCTGTGTTTCGGTATTCTATTTCGTAGCTGTATGTCATCAGCTTTAATGCCCAGCGTTGCAGTCTTTTTGCTGCAATCACCGGCAATCCTTCCTTCGGACCGAAAATCTTTAGGAGCGGTTTATGATCGGTCAACAGGAGGAACTTCCTTCCGTAAAAATACTGGTTAAATTTCTCAATGCCATAGATAATGCCCAACGCTTCTTTCTCAATTTGCGCATAATTTTTCTCGGATCCGGTGAGAGTTCTAGATGCGTACGCTATCACTTTCTCTGTACCATCACGGTACTTGTGGTATATCACTGCACCTAGCCCGTAATCCGACGCGTCCGTCGCGAGCACTATCTGCTCTGTAGGGTCGTAGTGTGCCAGTGTTCCACTGTCTACCAGTATTTTTCTTTTATTTTTATCTATGGCCATCTGCTCCTTTTCTCCCCAAACCCACTCAGCGTCATTCTGTCGCAACCGATTTAACGGTGCGCTCTCCGATGACAGGTTTGGTATATACTTCCCGTAATAAGTTATCATGCCTAAGAACGATTGTAATTCTTTTTAAGTTCTTTGGTGGTGGCATCTTGACTATGGCTTCTACCTTTTTTTGAGGACGCTTTTTACGCCTTCGGCGTTTACTATATGTCCCAGGTACTCTATTTCCGGTTTGAGAAATTCGCATTTCTCTTTCTTCACCCGAAAACCATAGTCTTTAATTCTCTTTAACACTTCTCTTAATCGTTTTATGTGCTCTTCGTCGGATGGCGCGGTTATAGTGATATCGTCCAGATAGACTATAACTCCGGGAACCCCCTGCAACATCGTTTCCATTGTTTTCTGGAATATTGCAGGAGCCGATGCTACGCCAAAAGGAAGTCTTTCATATCTAAACAGTCCTTTCAATGTATTCAATATCAGATACTGTTTAGATTCTTCCTCCAATTCCAACTGCAGATACGCATCTTTCAGATCGATCTTTGAGAATTTCTGTCCACCATTTAGTGCATGAAATAACTCTTCCGGTTTCGGAAGCGGGTACTGGTTCACGTCTAGCCAGGGGTTTATTGTCTGTTTGAAATCTCCACAGATTCTTACTTTACCCCCTGGTTTCGGAACCACCACCACAGCTGAGGCCCATTCTGCATGTTCGACTGGTACTAAGATTCCTTTCTGTACCATTTCATCGATATTTGCCTCAACTTGTGGTTTCAAAGCAAATGCGATTGGTCGGGCTTTACAATATTTTTGGCATTGCCCCCTTTTTTTCACATGTAATTTTTGCTTTTGACTTTTTGTGCACGTACCCAGGCCGTCTTCGAAAAATCTCTTGGTAGTCAGTTAACACTGCCTCAACCTCTTGAACAGAGTTTATCTTAGGCATTTCATTTACCAGATTTCTTAACAGTTTTGTGACATCGAGTCCCAATTGGCATATTAGGTCTCTGCCACAGAGAGAAACGGCCTTGGTGTTTAACACATGCAGTGTTACGTGCGCTTTCTTATTCTCGAACTCAACCCACGAACTGAACTTTCCTTTGAATTCAATTCGAGAGTTCCCGTAAGCCTTCGCGGTATACGCGACGGGTGTGAGTTTTGGTTTTCTCAGAAGTTCCCACTGTGAGATACCAATTATACTCATGGAAGCGCCGGTGTCCAGTTCAAAATCAACGTTCGTACCGTCTACTTTTATAGGTACCATGCATGCCGGATAAATGGCCTTAACCACATTTTCCATTTCCGCTAAATTTACGAAATCCACTGATTCACTGTCGTATTCTCGATCATTAGTGACATAGTGTGATTTTTTATTTTGGAAATGTTTTCTTTTATGGTTTCCTTGCATTTTTGAACGTGATTTACTATGTTGACTGCTTGACTTTTTGTTTCTATAGCAGTCTCTGGACATATGACCTAATTTGCCGCATGTAAAACACTTCATTTTAGCCTTATCCTTGTATTGGCCATCTCGTCTTACCGGTTGACTAACCGTGAGAAGTGAATGTTTTACTGTGGCATTATTTTTAGTCATCTTTTGGCTCTCTTTTTTCGCGGCTGCTAACACAGCCACCTCTTCGAGTGCTTCCGGTCCCGTAAGCTTAACTTTGTTCAACAACTGCGCTCTGACCTTTTCCTCTCTCAACCCTCTTACGAATAACATTGTAACCATCATATCTAATACATTTGTTACTTTTGTCAAATTCGCAGTGGGTTGCGATCTTTCTTAATTCCGTATAGAATTCCTCTGCTGTTTGACCCTCTGTTTGGACAATGTTTAATAACTTCACTCTTTCTGCCAGCGTCAATTTCTTTGGCATGTAACGCTTCCTGAGCAAAATTATCAACTCGTCGTACGACAGATTTTTCTATAGGTTTATCAGACAGGGATTCTATTTCTGCGTAAACTGTGACACTTATTTCGCATACTAATATGCACGCTTTTTTTCCGTATCAACAGTTACTTTACGCATCTTCAGAAAAATTGTTGAACATCTTCTCATATATTTCCCATGACGTGCCCGGTACGTAGGCGCCGGGTCCTTTCGTCAGGTATGAGTTTGATGACACAACAGGGTTTTCCGTCATTATTTCTTTCTTTTATTTAGTTAGTCCGCTTACTGATCGCCACTTTAATGTATCTTTGTGTGCGTGTCAGAAAGAAGAGTACTCGCCACTTATTTATTATCAGTGGTGAATAAAGATGGAGATTGGAGATTGGAGAGGTAGTTGTCGATTAGTCCGTGGCTGGAAGCGACGGAGGAGCTGGAGGCGAACGGTGGGCGGTACGAGCAAATTATGATCTGAGTTCCCGACTTCTTTTATACTCTTAGTTGGGATATCTCTCACGTGATCTATTATTTGATCACTATCAATTCACATATTCAACAGAAACTGAGAACGTAGAAACAAAAAAATCTTCAGAATGTTTTTAAATTTTGAGCTAACAGTTAATTATAACGTGTTCAAATCGTCTATTTCTGACCCTGCGAAATTGTAAAAATATTATCTTTGAAAAGGCAGAAAAAAAAGGAAGTCAAATAAAACTTCTGGGCTTTTTATGAAATATTTGACAGCTGTGTTTAAAGTTTTCTGAATCAATAAATTCGAAAAGTTGGGAATTTGTAGTGGAAACTGAGAACGTAGAAACAAAAAAATTCTGCAGGATGTTTTTAATTTTTGAGCTATCAGTTAATTATAACGTGTTCAAATCGTCTATTTCTGACCCTGCGAAATTTTTAAAAAAATATTATCTTTCTTTGGATCGGATATTCATTTTATTTAGAGGTTTCACTCAAAAAGAATGATCAGTCAGCCAGGCAAATCCAGGCCACACACATGTTGCGGTTGTGAGCGCAGTCTTTTCTCGAGAGGCAGAAGACAGAATCGGCTGAAAATTCCTACTCTGTTAGATTCTTATTTATCCTCAGGTGATTCTTGGGAAGGTAATCAGCAGGAGGTTGGAAGGTGTATGAAAGCTAGAAATTCTTAAGAAAGCCTTTGGAAGGTAGTTTGAAGTTGAAATGAAAAATTCCTGCCAGAAGCCTGCTTGACAGCTTCTGAAAGGCTGAAGCTTCCCAACTTTTACCTGAGTCAGAAAAAGAAAAAAAAAGTTCTTCAACTACTTTGTTATCTCGACTGCAACTTACAGTAACATTTCAAGAACATTGATGATATCAATCCACGAACCTTTGCCCAGCAGGAACGAGAAGAGAAGCAAGAACTGAACGATGGTCGTCTGAAAGAAATTCCCAATTTATGCGTTTATGAAAAAATTATAGGATACCAGAGAAAGCATTGGAGAGTGGTCAGAGTGACGGAGTAAGAAAGTTTTTTCTTTTCAAACTTTTATTCAATCTGTGACCTAATAAATCTCTGAGAGAACCAATATCATCCTAATCAGTTCGTGGGAAGAGTACATGACCAATTTGAGAGTTCAAACCACGCAGAGACCTCCAAAGTACGGGAATCTACCTTCCGCGCAAATGAAAAAACGTAGTTTTCAAAAAAGAACTGCATTTTATATTCTTCGCATCGTGATTGTTTCCGAGATTTTCCCATCAATCGAGAGGAAATGACGTCAGAAGTCCGAATATCCAGGTTAAATAGTCCCTAGCCTCCTAGGAAAAAAGTTATGATTTCTCAAAGTTTATTATTATTCATAGCTAGTAGTATGTAAAAAGTTGTCACTGGACGGTCATTTTGCCCAAATGACGTTTTTTGCACTTTTTGACTATTTTAACGCTTATTTTCATCAAAAAAGTGTCTAAGCTCATCGAAAATCAGTCATTTTTGAAAAACGTCACTTTTTTGGCTGGACGTAGAAGTGACCATTTTGCCCACTTTTAAATTTTTGAGACTTTTCAAGGTTTTTATTGCTATTAAATGAGCTTTTTCCAAAATCTTAAACCTCTGACAAATTATGATCTCTTAGAACTAGTAGACACACTAAAGATCAAGAATTTCCGGGGAATCTTCATGAGAGATACTTTGTCGGATATAATAAAAGATATTTGAATCGTAATCAACGATAGCTCCCACCTATTCAATATTTGTCAAGCAGTGAATCCATATCATTTATTGTTGTTTACCGAATACAGAAAATTTCCAATGAAACAAGATCGCAAACTGAAGAATTTAGGAGGGAAACTGCTTATCGGTTTTGCAGCGTTTCTACACCGGCTCCAACTGAAACAAAACGATTAAACCAATTTTCCAATGAATCCACTTACCCCTGGTCCACCAATTCCAGCGATTCCCAGAATCACATCGGAGCTGATTATTTTACTATCTGGGCGGTGGTTCGCTACTTCTGCTAGTGGCATGTTGGAAGAATCGTTGAAGACGAACACCTTCTTTCCAACCGACATTCCTAGAAAATATCCGGAAGAATTGAAAATTCCACTGCCGGAATCGCCCGATTGTCCACAAGACGTTCCGACATAGTATCCACCTAAACCAAATAATTAACAATAAATTTAAGAATTTAGACATACCGAATCTGTCAGAGACGACTCCGTCTTTCCAGGTTGGGATCCTATTCGGGCTGATGCCCAGCTGCAAATAGTGCTGACCGCGGTACAGAGATTCGAATCCTTTGGGATAGAACGGGAACTCCCCGCCATCTTGAATCTTGAGCACAACTAAGTCATACGCTACTGAGGTAGCGTGAACCAAAAGTCTGAAAATCAATTTTAAAATAATTCAAATAATTGGAAAAAAAGCAAACCTGATAGTGTAATGTTGAATCATAGACAGAGTACACAGAAAGTGTCTCATTGAGCTTCAATGATGAATGAGGGCCGTGAAAAAAACGACACAGCGTGTTTTTGAATCGAGAACCACAACACACGGATGCAGCGCTTCATCCGATTTGGAAGTGGTGAACAGAGTCTTCTCCAACATCTCCACGTTAGCTCTTTGCATTTTTCCTTAAACACGGAGATTTATTAGCAAATTATAAGGGAAATGATCACGGATGGAAAACGACGCACAACGCGAACTACATAACAAAAGGAAAAGTTAATGCCGTGTTCAAAGTAATTTCGGGGAATCGAAAAATAAAAAAAAGTAACGATTTTCTCGTTTAATTTGAAAACCCGAAATCCTGAAAATTGGCATTTCGAGGGGCCGCGACGCGCCTGCTACGCGGGTGCTGCAGCATTGGGTCTCGCAACGATCAAACGCGGAAAAAGGAAATTTTTCAAAAATTTTCGCAATTAATTTTTTTGTATTTGTTGATTTGATTATTGTTTTTCATTATGGCGCGTTCAGGAGCAAAAACGCGAAAATTTTTTTCGAAATTCAAAAAGAGCGTTCACGGCGATACTTCGAAATTAGCGAATTTCGATTTTTTTGAGATAATTTCGAGATAATTTTTCTTCTTTTTTTCTTTTTTTAGATAATTTTTTTCTTTTTATTTTTTTCAATTTTCAACCCGTTCAAATTTATTGATTTTAGAAATAGTACGAATGAAAGCCTTAAGTTAATTTTTTTCGACTGTCTGAACTTAAAAAAGTTCAATTTTTTTCTCAAATTTCGAATTTATCGTGTTCATCCAACGGATGTATCAGAGTGTTTGAAGTTGCAGGTCTCTAAACTATGGCGGGTATTGGATTACCGAAAGTGCTAAAGTTGAAAAAAAGGTAATTTTTCATTCAAAAAAACTTTTTTTCGCAGTTATTTTTTTACAAATTTTTGATTCTTTTTTCACAAAAAAAATTTTAGACTCGTTAGGGAGGCACGAGCGGCTCGTGTGAAGGTAACGCAAAATTTTTCGTCTCTACAGTCAAGCATAAATTCGTGAGTTCTCTTATTCTTCGATGTTATTTTCTTTCATTTTTCAATATGTCTTGTCAATATGTCTTGTTCAGTTGTAAACGAAAAATGAATACCACGGTTCAACCGATGGTATGAAAAAAAGAACAGCAAAAGTTCGAACGACCACTTCTCCGATTATTTCATATCGCTAGGGAACTTTCCGACCAATCTTTTATCGAATTTTCTTCTCAATAAACTTTTCGTTTTAAATATCCCTATATAAAGTAGGCAAGTTATTCATGTTTAAAACACAAAAAAATAGGAAAAAATATGTTGATAGATGTTTTATAAACCGAAAAATATAAGGGAAAAAAGTCGGAAAGGGATCCGTCGGAGAGGTGGCCGTCGGAAAGTTCCCTAGCGATATGAAAAATTCGGAAAAGGGCGAATTTTGTTTGAATTTCTGCTTGTGTTTTTTTCATACCACCGTTCAACCAGCTTTTCCTTTCTGGAAAAATTTCTTCTGCTTACAGACCTAGACGAACGGTTTACGAAGGACACGCCGAAAGACTACACGTGAAACTTGGATCTTTCCTTATGGAACTTTTTTTCTAATAAAAATTTCATTGTTTTTCTTCTGCCTTTCAGAAACATCTCATCACAAAAACAGTTTCTGTTGTTAGGTTTTTTTAATTTGATTAACTAAGCAGCTTGTTTTTTTACATTAATTTTTTTCAAGAAGGTAATGCTCATCATCTTTATTCAAACAAATGATAGAGAAAATAAACGCGTAATAAAACAAAACAAAAATCATTGAAAGAGAAGTTAAAAAGCTGTGTATTTGACAAAATCGAGACATGGTAAATTCCAAATTTATCCGGCTGGCCACAACAATGGCAATCAGATTTAGTGGAAATGATTCCTTATTCAAAAGAAAATAAAGGATACAATTATCTTCTAACTATAATTGATTGTTTTTCAAAGTTTGCATGGGTAGTTCCTCTTAAGAGTAAAAAGTGGTAAAAGAAACTGCAGATGCATTAGAATCTATCTTTACAAAAAGTAAAAAGACAACCAAAAAAAGATGCAAACTGATAATGGTAAAGAGTATTATAATAAAGAAATGAATAAGTTATTTAAATCTTTAGAAATTAATCACTTCTCAACTTATTCAGATAAGAAAGCATCAATAGTTGAAAGATTCAATAGAACGTTAAAAGAGAAAATGTGGAAGATGTTTACTCATCAAGGAGATCACAAATGGACTGATATTCTAGATAAGTTAGTTCAAGGATATAATAATCATTATCACACTTCAATAAAAATGACACCCACACAGGCTTCAAAAATAGAAAATGAAAGTATTGTTTACTCAAATCTTTTTCCTAAAGAGAAAAATCTTTTTTCTAAAGAGGAAGAAAAAGATATGAAAGCGAAATTCCAACTTGGAGACACTGTCAGAATAACTAAATATAAAGCAATCTTTGATAAAGGTTATCTTCCAAACACTGAACAATTCAAGATTGCTAAGATTCTAATAGGTGATCCAGTTATGTACTCAATTACAGATTTGGAAGATGAAGAAATAAAAGGAAAGTTTTACTCTGAGGAACTCACGTTGTATAATAATACTAGCGGAAAATTCGAAGTAGAAAAAGTTATTAAGAGAAGAACAAGAAAAGAAAATGGTAAACCGATTAAAGAAATGCTAGTCAAATGGTATGGATATCCAGAAAAATTTAATTCTTGGGTTCTTGATGACGAAAATGTATCTTAATGCTACATCGACAACAATAGGTGTGATTCATACGCTGAAAACCTTTACTCTATTATCTCTAACTTCAACAATATTATCACTCATGATTAGACAATAACACTTTGTACTTTGAGCAATGTTTTTAGCAAAGCTGGCTTTTATTGTAACATCAGGTCTTGATTGAATTATTCTATCATTTTGTTTTGATACATCGAAAACTAATAGAGGATAATAATGATAATAAACATCCTCTTCCATGAAAAATATAATCCTTCACACTTTCATAATAACTATTTCTAAATTCTTTGGCAAAATTATATTGTTGAACAGCATTGAATTTATCAAAATCAAATTTTATACATTCATATGGATACCTTTCTGAATTTAACTCCACATAAATTTCTTCCAATCCACAATTATCAAATTTGCCTGCGTTGAGGTAATTATTATCTCTTGCACATTGGAATGCTATGACTATGTACTTTAGTTTATCATATTTTGTTCCTAACTTCCATGTAAACTCACGATTACCATTAGGAATGTTATAACTTTCAAATTGTCGAGAAATGAATGGCATTTGTATTACTTTATTACTTTCATGAATGTTTAAAAGTTTATTTTGCATTTCGAGGCTAGGAACAATTTTTGGAATTATCCATTGAAGTTTATTGATAACCATCTTAGCTGTGAATTGAGTTGGATCACTGGAAGTAATAGAATTTTTATTATCTGGTGATCTATAGAGTGAGAGTTGATGTTTTCTTCCATAAATTACGCGAGGGTAACACTCAACAAATCCAAAGATATGACTCAATGGAATACAAAATGTCAAGTTACCATTTCTATTCTTAGTATATTTATTAATTTTTGTATTGAATGATGTCTTTACTCTCCAAGATCCAACCAAAAAGTGTTTTTGTTTGTTTATTGTTGAAGAGTAAGTTAGTAAACCTTTTAATAAACTAGCTCTTCCTGGATCTATTATGTTTTTCAACTTGCATTCCATCCATTGAATAAGTAGTTCTATCAAATAGAAACAATGGTGCATTATTAGTTAGAGAAACTTCATCTGTAGCAGCTAAAGCAGAATCATCAGTTTTTGTTAGTTTAGCTTCTAAGAAAATATAACTTTTGTGTAGTAGTAGATATTGATCACATGTTTCAATAATGAAATTTATTTCACCAAGTTGATTTAAATTCGATCCACTTGTAGGAAAAAAATGTTTATCAGATTCTCTTTTTGAATACTATGATCATTAACGATGGGCTCACCAATTACTAAAACTCTGTCAATCGCTTCTTTTTGAATCTGACATTCTTAATTTTCACTTCAGAGAAAAAGTCAGAATGAATTTCAATTTATTTAAAAATATTTTTTTCTAATAATAAATACTAGAAACAATCCAAAGGATAAGAATCAAAAAAATTTTTAAAAAAAATGAATCTGCTACAATTTTATTTCTTCTTGACATTTAATTATCATGATATTCTTGCTTCCTTTATAAGCCCAAAAGCCTCAGGAAATGTAATCATTTGTACTCCTAATTCGATAGTTCAATATTTTAGACTTCCCTAAACTACATAAATGTAATTATCACCGCCTAAATGTAAATAATAAAGCACAAGTAGTGAAATACGAAGTGTATAAGCCTAATATCATTGAATATTCAAGTGATGCAAAATTGTGTAAAAAATTAGTAAGTGAAGTATCAATGTATACTGATTTCTCAGGATATGAACACTTAGTTGAAAAAAAGAAATGAATCATCGAGATGTTAGTCTTGCAGAATGTAGGGAAATGATTGTAAATAAAAAAAGTGTTCTTATGGGAAGTTAAGTAAAGATTCGAAGACCTTTGGTACATCAGGAGGATTGTGGAGTACTAATAATAAAGTTGAAGTGAATTATCCAAATCGATTTATTAGTATGTTCTCTCCAAAAAAAGATATTTTAAGGAAAAATTGCATCATAGTTGAAACTAAAGTATTTTTCTCATTTCAATCAAAGTCGTCCTATAAATGTTTTGGCTGATCTTAGTAATTGTAAATATTCTGATGGTTATTGTCAGATAAAAAAATAATGAACTCATGCTGTGGGATGTTAATAAAGATCAAAAATTGTCAATATATTTCAATTGGAAAATTGAATGGAACCATGAACAATGGTCTTTGGATTAATAGTCAAAACCAAATTGCTTTTTAAAAAAATTGATGAAAAATAAGACTTTGACAGATTGTGGAAACTCATTATTATTAAGTGAAGAGGGTTTTGGTGTTAGAAGAATTACAGAATCAAAGTTTCCTAGATCTACAGGACCACTAATATTAGAAGTGATTAGTAGAGATCCAGAAAAGTATAAAGTAGAACATCAAGAATATTATCAAAGACGTCGTGATCAACAAGAAGATAT